AAGATATTCAAAAGACAAATTGAGAGAGGAATAAGCCCTTCTGCTGAGCATAATGCTGGAAGGCATTCGCTGTTGTTTTCACTCATTGTGCTGGCAAACAATCATGTGAGTGGTATCAATCCTCTCATTTAACCTTAAATGTCAAGCTGCTGCTTTAACAGCTGCATTAAAGGGATTTACTGAGCCTATTACACTCTGAATGTCTGTTCTGGTGGGGCACGTGAGGCGGGTCGGTGTCCTGAAGTCAACCCTGCTCCCGTGTTGGCAAAATAGGGGGCAACATTTCCTCCTGTTAGCACTCGCAACATGGAGGAAATGTTGCCAAGAAATGCTGTTTAATTAATCACCGGGATGTTAAAGTACTTCAGGTTTGTGAGTTTGAGTGCGTGTTTGCAGGGAAATGCTAACGGGCCCATACGCTGAGGAAAAGTAAGTGAAATGTATGTAGAATCAGAATGCATCAGGACCTCAATCTCATAAGGCGACATGTTAAAAGAACACAGAAAACATGCTCAGTGTTGAAAATGAGTTGTTGTAAAAGTTTAAAAGAGATTGTGGACGTGTCACCTGTCTAACCACCTCTAAGATCTGGATTTAAAAACAGCCCTGATTTCACTGCTGAAATCACTGTGTGGGGTTATTGACATTTGGGAGAAATTACTTTTCACTTAAAGATCCTGCTTAAAAGAGGAAGGCAGAAGTTAACTGGATCTGGAAACTTCCATGTCTTATTAAAGTTTCGTGAGATGGACTACAGCAAAGTAAAAAACTGCTGGACTTCACCTCCTTTAAACCACAAAAAAGCATCAACCAACTTGTTTTCAAACCTCATTTTAAAAGCCCGAAAAGCCTGTATAAAGTCCATGGAATTGACTATATTCAATTTCAGATGAACTGAATGAAGTCATTAGTTAATCTTTGCAGTCTGTTTTTTTAATGATTAATTTCCTTCTTTTAAAAAGGTTTTTCAGCAGTTTGCTAACTTTTTTGAAAATGGAGCTGTATGTTGTTGCTTTTTGCATCCATCACTGTTTGATCTGCTGAGCAGAATGAGTGTGTAGAGAGAGATTAAGGGGAATTCACTACCCCTCCTCCCCACGCAGTCTCCACTTCCAAACAAATCCCTCACCCCCTCTTAACCTAAATCCGTGAATGAGACTGTGTGAAGACATCAAGATGTGAGCAGAATGAAAAGCTGCATTTATTTTTCTCTCGCGGCGTTTTCTTGTTTTTCTTTTCCACGAGCTGCTGCTTAGTTTATAACAAATGGCCCAGACACAGAAAAAAAATTAAATCTGACCTCTGAACTATACTGTGTTTGTGCCTGTCTTTTTCTGTTTGGGGCAAAAGCAAACACATTAAAAAAAACATATAAAAAAATCGTCTACTCATACGTAACGCTTATGAGATGACCTTCTGTTACACAATAAATTCCCTCAGATAATGACCGTGTTTTTATCATCTGCGACTTCCACAAAATCCAAATCCCGCTTCCAAAAACACCTCTTCATGCCAAACCTGGCTTAGAGTACTTTTACCAAGTGATTACCGTGCATTATATGATGAAAACAATTAGGATGAAAGTCTGCTCCCATCATCATTATAGAGTCAGATTCCAGGTATTGGTTGTAAAGCAACGTTAGATTGGTTTGAAATATTTCAGGCACTTAGTTTTATTCATCAACTGATAAAATACTGATACAACTGAACCAATATACTACAGCCTGTTTCATCTTTCACTGGAGATATTAGGCATACATGCCTTAGAGAATTAGATTTAGAGTTATTTAAACCATTTCTTTCAGTGACTTAATGAGAAGGTCTTCATTCTTTGTAACTAAAGGATAGTAATGGTCAAAAATGTTGAAGTACATGGGATTTCTTAGAACTTCCAAACAGGAAAAAGCATGGTGATCTATTAAACTGTGCAAACGGAATTGGAAAAGTATATTCTAACAAGCTTTAAAGTTAATATTTGGAAGAGAAGATTTCTTGTTGTTCTTGTTGTTTCTAAGTATTTGTCTAGGCTTCTTAAAGCACATCTCGAGGCTCTTTTTTGGGGGTGTTGGGTGCCATTTTGTTCCAGAAGTGGAGATCGATGCTGATTGACACAGATCGATATTCAGAATTAGAAGTATTTGATTGAGGGAAAGGTTCAAGGTTTGAATGGATCCTCACTGGAGGGAATCCGTTTAATGACATTCATTCACTCCATTCACTTCCAGCCATTATGCAATGAGGGGATTTTCCTTGTATAAGAGCAAACCTCTTGGATATTAGATTTATCCTTCCACTTGAGTCCTAACTAGGTGATCAGTAAGCCTGTAACTTTAAGAGCTGTCCGTGTGAAGCGATGTGATCTTAGTTCCTGGTACTGTGGTCAGCTCAGTCTTTTGTTGGTGCATTTGCTTCCCAGATCGCAGTGGTCTGTTTGGACATTTCTAAATATTTAAGGGTGTTTTTTTGCGGTGTGGAGTTAGCGATGACGATTCGCGTGTTCGGGTGAAGGCCGGGGGCAGGATGGATGCATGGGGGCTGTTGTCTCTGCAGCCGCCGGTCCACCTCACACAGCAGGCTGCTCGGTAAGGAAATACACCCCCTACACACACACACACACACACCACCACCCCCCCACCTCTCTGTCTGGAGATAAAGAACACAGGGTGTTTGTCGAAAACCATTTTTAGCCGGAGCAAGTGAAACATTTTTTGCATAGATTGTCTCAACTTCATGTTTTTTCACTTCCTATTCCCCTCTGATGAAGAAGTGGATGCGCTTATGGCCTTTTTGGTTGTGTTTTGTCCATTGTCTCTGTGAGTCTTGGTCTTCTGGAGTGACGCAAAGTTCGTCTCTCGCCGGCAGGAAGAGAGCATCAGTCAAACGGGGAGTGAGGCTGCCTATAGCTCTTTAAAAAAACACAGAGAGCCCCTCTGTAGTCTGCTCAGTCGCTCTACATGTCTGTTTTAGAAGAGATTGCCCTGCTGGTTGTCTGTCGGTCTGGGTACGGGAAATTTCAGCCATCTTCTTTCAACCGTTTCTATACCCAGGTGTTTCAAAAAACATTGAAAAGTTGAATTGAGAAGTTCAAAGTGAACATGCTCTGTGTGTTCTGTTATCTGTCGGGCTGGTTTATCTTCTCGACTAAGGGCCGCCCGGTGGAAATGACCGGTGCCGCTCGCGTTGTCGGGCGTCCACGCTCGCCGACGTCCACAATCACAAAGTCTGGCGCTCCATTAAATACGACTATAAGTCTCTCAGCTTTGGAGAGCCAGCGGCAGGAAGCAGGGTGACTGTGATCTCTGCCACTTACAAAACCCACAGAGCGCTCGTGTGCGTGTGTGTGTATACGTGTACGTGTGCGTGTGTGTGTCTGCACAAAGTGCATGACGCCTCAGACTCTATCTGGCGGCGAGCAGAACAGGAAGTAGCGAGGTGGGGCGCAGCCTCTGCTGTTCTTTCTTTCCCCTCCTCTGCTTCGTTCGTTCGCTCCAGATTTAGACTTAGGGCTTTTGATTCCTGGCGGGAAGGACATCCGGGATTTTTTTGAGGGGAGACGGGAATAGGCCTCTGGGTTCGGACTGGTGCTGCTCTCAGTGCTCAGCACTGTGTGTGTCAGTGTGTGTGCGTGTGGCCAGTGAACAGGCCCCCCGGCGATGGCCAGCGAGGAAGCGTTGGAGGACCTGCCGGGTGACCAGCCCGACTGCCCGGGACCCCCCGAGCAGGGGGACGCCGAGCCTCCGGTAGGCGACCGTGGCTTGCCGCCCTCCTTTTCCGTCCATTATTGCGGCCGTCTTTTCTGTCGGCTTCCTTATTCACTTCCTGCCAAAACATCTGCTCCCTGACACCGAAGCCCTCGTGAGTTTTCGGTTCTTTTTCTTTGCCCAGACGGTCTCGTCTCGGCCCCTCACTCGAAACGCCATGCATTGTGTTTTTAAAAAACTCTGCCTTCCTGTCGTTTGGCGGCGTGTCGCCGGCCAGATGACTGGCCAGGGGATCTCTAACGATGTTGACGACCAAACGAACCCCAGAAATGGTTCATTTTCATAGCCTGGTTCCAATCCTGGCGTAGGAAAACCTGCTCAGTGACACGGCAACCGAGTCAGGCTGCGATGTAGCGCTGCGCTAAAGCAGGATTAGGGCTTTAAGGAGAGCAGGGCCCTGGGCCCCCCCCCCCCCCCCCCCCCCCCCCCCCCCCCCCCCCCCCGGCCTCCGCGAAGCTGGACGGACGCGCAGGCCTAAGAAGCGGTAATCAGATATCCGCTAAGCCCGCCCGGTGCAGTGAAAGGCCCAGACCGGGGCCCAGCATTACGCTCACGCAGAGGGGAAGGAGACACCGGCCCATAATTGGGACCACGCAGAGACACACAACCATGCGCACTGACACCTAACACGCAGGGTTTTACCGACACTAAAAGAAGACAAACCGCATCGCTACAGCTAGCGATGTGTTTTTAAGTGACCCGTAATACCTGTGTGCACCGTTAATAATCTCTCATTGTTAAAAATGTGGATGCATTTTGAAAATATCTCTTCATCTTTCTACAGAGACAGATAACAATAGCCCTATCTATGACAACAGTCACTCCTTTTGCTCATATCTAAGTTCATTAAGTAGTATTTCTCCTTTTGTGTACCCAGACAGAGGAAGTAAACATAATAGCTCTTCCCAAAATGTTTTTCCATCCGAGAACCATTTAAAAATCGGTAAAGCCGTTCCATATTTGTTTGATCGCGACTAGTAACAACACCGGCTTGAACTGGTCTGCAACTGTTCTCTTGTTTCTATCAGCCTGACCCAAGACTCTGGCACTTTTTAAGTCAGCCGTGCGACTGAGAAACGAGTTTTAGTTTTGGCGAGGTGCCAGGAAAACTGCAGGCAGCGGCTATCTCGCGCCGATGTTGATTTTCAGATTAGAAAAAGCAAAGTGCTCGTGTGATGCTATCATACCTGCTACACGCCGAATGCACAGATCTAAATCTGACAGTAAAACGGTGTCGACATGCTTTATCAATCCGTCATTGGCCCCGCCCACCACTTTTGGTGCACGAGGGTTTAAAGTGGTGATTTTTTTTTTATGCAGCCCATGTTGTTCTTTGATTTAGGGGCAGTTGTTATCTGAGTCCTGTAGTCAGGACCAGAGATAATTATGGATTCAGGTTCCTTTGTGGAAAGCAGAAACATCTTCTGACTTCTGTGTGCTTTACTGTTTTGAATTAGAGCTCAAGTGGCAAATAATGGCAAAGCTGCCTGTAGAAATGCATCATATTAGACCTTATTAGACGTTATTAGACCTATATAGGTTCTTAAATGTGCTATTGGGTGCACATCGATCCAAATATCGATAGTTCGTATACAAAGGTGGTATCGGTATCAGAATCGGATCCATACTAGCCTGCTGAGATGGATTCTTTACTTTAGGTTCTGCTCTTGTTTGCAGTTTCTGCAAAGAGGAAGCAGCCAGGTCTCCAGACTGGCCCCTCCCCCCTCTTTTATTTAGATGTTTCGCCGTCACATGACCTGACTTAGACGAAGCAAACAAACAAGCAAGTGGCTCAGGTTGTTTTGGTTGTTGAGAATTTTAATCAATTTTTTATAGTACCGTTTCTCAAAAGGACTTGTTTCTTTTAATTAGTTTACTCATTTGCATGCACTTTTAATTTATTATAAAATTTTGTGACAAAACATTTTCTTTTTAATTAGAAAGTTTGTTTTAATTCTGGGGTTTTAACTATTTAATGATAAAAAATGAAAGATCACAAAAAACACTTAAGGTTGTTAAAAAAATGTGAGATATAACAATTCAATGACGCAGGTACAAATACAGATACTTAATAAATAAGGTTATTTATTAAGTATCTGTATTTGTACCTGTATCCGTATTAGTGATACGGGCCTGTATTTCCTGTTCTGCTCAATACCAAAATATCCAGTATCGCACACCCTTATTACACATTACAAGGCTGTTAAAACCATATTCTTGGGTTTTTAAATTCTTTAAATTCCTGATTTTAAATTCAGGCCAGGAAGACTTGACTCAGAATTGGCAAATTCTTGTTGTTTTCCAGTTGTGTCGTAGATCTAAAGGAATTTTAAGAAGCTAAAAAAAAAACTAAAAATGTTGACAAATTAGATTAGATGAATAAAAATTCGTAAGTTTATACCTTGCAGTGTTCAGTGATTTAAAAAAAAGTCTTTCATGAAACTTTTTTAGATTGAAGCACCATTTTTAATGTAGAACTTTTTTCTAGTGTTTTGACCAAAACACAAGAATAAAGTTAAGTAGTGTATATCACTTTGATTGTGCACCCAAAAACCTCTTAAAAGGTTAAATAAATCATCACTGTGGCATTTGTGAAGGGTTAAAGATGTCAGTCAATAAGTCAAGAGTCAATTATTTGTGTTGAGGAGTTGGGAAAGGGATAAATCTTGTTTTGTGTATCATGCTGTCTTTGTTATCATTATTATTATTGTTATCATTATTGTTGTTAATGTTGTTGTTATGCACATGCTTGATACCTGTCTCCTCAAGCTGGTTGAAAATGAGTTTTCTTCCATCTCCCTTATCGTACCATTTGGCTTTTTTTTATTGCAAACACAAGTTAGCATTTTCCCTCAATATCTACGGTGCAACAGTACCCTTTGTTTACTAACTTGTGATCCGTGCAGGAGCAGAGGAGACCCTGATTGATTTTGCTCTGTGTTAATACTGTTCTAAGCTGCAGTAATCTGGTTAGTGTTGATCAGCAGGAGAGCTGATGTGAGCACTCAGATCTTTATGCACTTAAACGCTGCCTCTTGTTTTGATGCGGCCTCGCTCTGGGCCCGGCTGGTTTCACGTGTTCGGAGCCATTATTTTTGCTTCGCTTTAACTGAGACGTCTGCAAAAAAAACAAAAAAAAAAACATGAAACCACCACCCCTTGGAGGATGTTCATTTCCGAGTTTCATTTTTCTAAAAAAAGACAGTCAGAGCTGCTTTTGAAATGTGTTGCTCACATTAAATTGGCGTTCAGGTTTACTTACCTCATCTGCGTCAGTTGGAGGATGCAAATGAGGCAAATTAGACCTGTGCATGCCTGCAGAAACTATTAAAAGGATTTTAAAACTTTATCGGGTAGTGCATTCAGCTTATAATGTGTATCAAAAAAGATGTGGACTGAAAGCCAGTAAAATCAAAGTTGGATCTTTTTAGAAAAGGAAACAACTTGTTGAACCAGGAACAGAACAGAAAATATGCCTGTTAATAGAGAAAATTTTGTTTTTGCTGATTAAAATGCAAGAGACCAGTTGGCTAAGTAGCAGTGGTCATGGACTGTGGCTAAATTCTGTCATGATCACCAGTCTGGACAAAAAAATGATGCTGGAACTTTGATTTGTCATCAATTCAAAGCATATTAAGACATCTGCCTAAAGAAAAAAAGAATTCTAGTCGCTGAATGTATGTGGTTGAGGTCAGGTGAAGAATCATGGAGGCAGCAGCCATTTCCTCAACAGTAAACGCACAAAGACAGGGTTCACTTCTAAATAGGAGCTTGAATTTATTCAGTCAATACAGAAAAAAAAGGTCATTTACAAAGCTCCAGCCTTTGACATTCATCTACCAACTGCTTTAAAAAAAACTAACACCTCACAATCAGAATTCAGTTTTCCAATAAAAGAAAACTGAAGGTATTTCTTCACTTTTCAGCTGTTTGAATAAATGGTTTCTAATTTCTTGGTTTCTTCTGTATGAATGTCCTGCATATTTTTTCCTGGGGGTGTCAAAATATGCTTTGGGACTATTTCCAATTTAAGGGTTAGGGTAAGAGTCTAAGTTTGATCCAGTTTCTCTTTCACCTCAATTGTTAACCCTTTAAAGCCTGATCCAAGAATAAAACAAAACAGAAAATTACTTTTTTTTTTGTTTGAATTCATTATTTGGCCTTTTAACAAAATATGTAAAAAGAAAAAACAGAAATACTTTTTTAATATCAATAATTTATTACTATGCGATAAATCAAGATTATTTTTTGTGTAGTCTTCTGCCCCCTGTTATCAGGTGTATCTGATTGTGTACAATAAGATTTTGAGCAAAGTTTTTACCATTAAATTAAGCAAAAGGTGTCAGACGCAAAACATTTCAGAAACCGTATGTATGAAATATGATACATTTGGCATTACAGGGTTAAAATCTCTCCAATACACAGTTTTCTGAATTCTTCCTTTTGCTCACATAACATCTACTCGGCCTGACTTAGCTTTTCCACCTCTCCTTTTTCTCTCTTTTCAGACCGATCCCAATGGGCTCTCGGTCCTCCAGCAGCTGGGTCTGGACCAGAACTCCGACTTCTCCGACTCCAGCGTGCAGCAGCGGCTGGACGAGCACCGCGAGAAGATCCGGAGGGAGATCCGGAAGGAGCTGAAGATCAAGGAGGGGGCGGAGAACCTGCGCAGGGCCACCACGGACAAGAGGAACGCCCAGCAGGTGGACTCGCAGCTGCGCAGCTCCAAGCGAAAGCTGGAGTCCCTCCAAACCCAGCTCCAGGAACTGGACGCTCACATTGTGGTCAAGGGCCCCGATGACAACAAAGGTACTGGAACTGTACCCACCATGAAGGAGAAGCTAACAAACCCCTGGGCCACTCCCCATATAGGCCGCCCCTGATATAGAGGAGGACATTATATCCCCCTTTTTCCAACTAATTTGAAGAGGAATTGACAAATGATCACAGGGTGTAAATATTCCGTCACTAGTAAATATACAAAAAAAAAAAACACACTCAGATTTACATTAGATACGTTAGATTTTTAGCATTTGCTTTTTTTGCCCGTAATCTATATCTATATTTAAACAATGTATCCATTAGGAATGCCAAAGGATAAATGGTTTACCAGTTTTACACCATATATGTTTTTAAATCTTCAAGTGTTCCAGTTCGTTTGGACTCATTAGCCAACTACATTACCTGCAGTTTAAACTGAGTACTTGAAATGTGTGTTCTTTAAATAGCCACAGTGACATGCAGAATTGTGCAATTTTTCTTCCTGTCCCGTCAAAAAAAAAAAAAAAAAAAATCACTCGCTGCATCTATTTCCTGTTTTCTGTCACTATGAGGAAATCAGGGCCTGCTAAAAAATTAAAAGCAATGCTTATTTTTCCATTTGCTCTCCATCTTAAACCTACTAAATCCATCTTCATACAGTATATGACTGCTATAAGCTGAACCTTGTGACCTTTTAGAAGATAAATCGATATACTAATGCATCATATGGCCTTTAATGTGGTTATTTGCAACACTTGGTGAGCTAGAATATGTACAAACCTCCTCCATTAACTCAATCTTTTACCGGTTAGTAGAAAAAAGTAGCCTGACTGGTGGTCATCCATCTCCATGTCTTTGTAGATGCTGCCATGTCCCCGAGCGCGGTCAACCGGACGCTGGCCACCCAGCACCGGGTGGCCGCTCTGGAGCGGCAGCTCAACATTGAGCTAAAGGTCAAGCAAGGGGCCGAGAACATGATCCCCATATACGCCAACGGGGGCACCAAGGTACGCACCCCGTCGCCCCGGCGACCGCCATCAAGCCCTTTTCACGTCACGATCGCCTGTAATTCCGACGCTCGCAACTTTTTTATTTCTTTTTTTTATTTCTGTGTTGCTTCCTTGTATATTTGTTTGTTTTTTGCTGTACTTTATGCACCTTTTCCTCCTTTTGAACTCTAACCGATGTGTGACCAGTGAATTTCTCCACTGTGAGATCAATAAAGCTCTTTTCTTATCTTATCTTATCTTTGCTTAATGACTTTTTTTTAGGACAAAAAGCTTCTCCAGACGGCTCAGCAGATGCTGCAGGACAGTAAAACGAAGATCGACATCATCCGCATGCAGATCCGAAAGGCGGCGCAGGCCACGGAGCAGTCCGAGGACAACCAAAGTACCTTTTTTTTTGTTTCGGTCAAGTTTCTGGTCTCTCTTTTTTTTTTTTTTTTTTACATTTCAGTTTAGGATTTATTTGTTTGTTTGTTTGTTTGTTTGTTTTTACCATACGATTGCAACAAGCACATGTAGAGAAAAATAGCCAGTTAAAAACCTACAATTAGACAAATGCCTGCTCAAATTGATTTGACAGTTTCTATTGTTTGGACGAGACACAATAAAGTTCACATTTTATATTAACCAAATTTTTTGGCACAAACAAACACGGAAATTAACATTAATTATCAACATTTAACTCATGTGTACACTGTTGTAGAATTATAGTCTAATTTTCAACCGTTCATGCTCATGAGAGCAAAAATAACATGTGCAAGAAAAGCTGAAAAATAATTTGGCCAAAAGTATCATTTAAAAAATCATATAGGTTATTATGACCCCTAGCTCCTGTACACAGTTTACTTTCTTTGGTTGGGTAAATAATTTCAAACAAAGAAGTTATTAATGTGGGTGTGACATAACACCATCGATTCTTTTGGTCTCTCATTGCCTCTTTCATCTTTCATCCCACCTGCCTCCCTCGCGGAACGCTGCATATTTTATGACGCGAGTGGTTTATCGATCGGTTCCCTGCCTCAGAACTTCACAGCACACGCCCTTCCAGTCAGGCCCCACGCACGCTCGCGTTCTCCATTACGGCCCTCTAAGGTTGGAGCCTTATTGATGTTCCGACCTCCCCCTTGATGTTGGCCCAACGGCTAAAAGCCATGCCTCATTTAGCAGAGGTTAGGGAGGAAGCCGGACAGATGCGGGGGAGGGGGGGGGTTCAGGAAGAGGGCGAGACAGAAAAGGACTGACTCAGAGATGAAAAAAAAGGCCGCCGGACAGTAGCAGAAGCAGCCAGATGAAAGAGAAATTAGACGGACAAGTAAAAAAAACAGCCCCGGCGTGGCGCGCAGAGATCCCTAACTCGCCGACATAGCACTTAACTTATGAGATTATTTTGTCCGCGGCTCTATCGTTTCTCTAAACGCTCCTCTTTAGCTCTTAAAAGCCGGTGAGATCAATATGCGTACATTAGTGTTAGCAAACATGGAGCGCTCGTATGTGAGAAGACTCATTTGGAGTCATTAAGAACAGTTTCCCTGCTTTTGGAGCCTGGCAGTGGCTTTAACTTGTTTCACACAGAATATCTTTACTCGGGCTTGACCACCAGCTCAGCACAGGTCACCACAGAGCCACAGATGTCCAAATAATAGTACGAAGGGACAGAGATGCGAGTCCTCGGTGTGGAGTTGGATTACACGCAACAGAGATCAAATCAGACTAAGAGCTTGTCAGATAATCAGCGGCTATTTCCGCTGATATTCTTCTATTGAGCTGTGAAGCACGTATTTCCATCAGATGTGTCATTATAGTGATTCAGTGGTCACGCAGCAGCCGGACAGCTGCACGGCGTGAGAAATTGAAAATGCGCATTTTCAAATAGAAATAGTAAGCGGATACAATCGCTGAACATAAAGCAGCGTGCAAATCCCTATCTTGAATTTCTTTGTGCAGAAAAAGTCTCGGAGGGGGGATAAACACATGTACACATAGTTAATAGCAAAAATCAATATCCACGGGCATAACCCCAATAAGTGTTTGGGTTGTCCATTCGGGGTGGCTGTAGAAAAATGGTAATTTAGCTTTGTATTTAGAAACTAAATTTAAATCTCAGAGATTACAATTATGCCACTTCTTTTATTTTATAATTCTGCATTTATTTGAATTTTACTGTGCATTTTCTTTGGCTTAGTTGCCCCATAAATGTTACTTTTAAACCTTTTCTGCTTCTTTCTGCTGCCAGATGTTCTACCAGACCTGCCGGTCATGTATTTCTGACCGACTCTGACATCTTTCTCCCAGGTAAGCCGGACATGTGCGGAGTGGAGCTGCGCGTGGAGGAGCTTTGGCATCACTACCGCGTGGAGCACGCCATGGCAGAGGGAGCTAAGAACATGCTGCGCCTGCTGGGTGCAGGAAAGGTCCAAGATAAGAAGGCCATCGCCGAGGTCAGGAAACAGAGAGGAAATGATTCAGAGAGTGTGAAAACTCTACAACTTCTTATTTCTATTTTGTGCCTTTCCTTAATATCCCTATGGGTAGAGTAAGGGAAACCCCAGTAAATCAAATAAGAAAGAAAATCTAACAATGATATGATATTTGTATGTAAAAATATGTAATAATTTGTATGTATAATCAAGTCCGTCACTGGTAGGATAATCAGATGTGAGTGGGTTATTGTATTTTAGATAACAGGAATATGTCCAACTCAACAATTTCCCAACACATGTTCCTGAAAAATACGGCCCATGTCTGCTGTTTTCTTCCTCCCACGTTGGGCTTTGACAGGCGTGCGTGTCTAATCTCGGCCACAGATACGCTACAGATGGCCCAGGGATGCTTTTTCGACTGGCCAGTTGCCCCGCTCGCCAAAAGCTCACGGCAAAGCCAGCTTGTGACATTCGATCCACATCTGGCCCCGTCCAACACATGCCGTTAGCACAGTTTGGCCGAGCTGACCGCTGTTTGACCACGTGTGGCTCGCTTACTAGTTCCACCGAACCGTACGGAGCCAAGGTGGCCTAGATTTGATCCTGTTCTGTCCACAGACCAATGAGATTCCTTAGGAGCTCAAAAAAGGACAAGTTTTAGTCTCTAAAAGTTACGTTAAAAAGTCAATCGTTCATTTCAAGGAATTTTTTAAAAGCTGATGATAATGTGGACAGATAAAAAAAACTATTTGAGAAACTTTTTGAGAAAGATGACAAAAAATCTAATACCACAACAAGAACCCTAATGTACAATTACAAGGAACTGAAAGGGAGTAGTTCTTATCGCAAAGATAAGATTTGGCAAAAATTTCCACTCACACAATAAATAAAAATACAAAAGTTCATGCATCAGTTTATTGTTCTCTTTGTTTTGTTTTTTGTTTTTTATCTGATCATTAATCTAAAGTAATCTGTGTGGGATTAGAAGTGTTGCCCTCTATCCTCTCTTTTACATATTTTTACATTATTTATATCTTAATGCAGACTTATATGTATAAAATATGCTTGGAAATGTAGGCTGTGAATATTGTTTATAGAATTGATGGTGGGTTTAATGAGGTTTGCAATAAAAAGGTGCATTAGTGTGATTTACATATTGCTCTTCAAAATGACTTAATTGAATTCAGGACGCCTTTTATACCATGTGGAATACAAACTAAAAGATCAGATTTGAATCAGTCACATGGAAAAGTATGAAAACTGTCTTTATTTAGTTTTTGTTTTGTTTTTGTTGACCCACTCTTTTTAGTTTGATAGCTTACAGTGTCCTTTTTGGTTACATATTTACACTTCTTCATTTAGTCCTTGAGTTTTCTTAAAATAAAGCATACAGCTTTGTTTAAAAAGCAAAAATGAATAGATAAATGACTAAAAAGATACAACCCCTGTCCCCCTGCAGGCTCAGTGTGGCCTGAGCGAGTCGTCCCAGCGTCTGGACCTGCTCCGCTGCGCTCTGGAGCAGCGGCTGCAGGAGCTGCCGGAGGACCACCCCAAAGCCTGCCTCATCAAGGAGGAGCTGGTGCTGGCCTCGTCCTCGGCCTTCAGCTCCCGCCACAGCACGCCGTACGTCCACAACCAGTACAGCACGCTCAGCAAACCCTCGCCGCTGACAGGTAGTGGTAGAAAGGGTCATCTGTCCGGCAAACGTTCCGTCTGCCTTGATTTCTTCAAAAATGTGCGTATGGATTGGATTCTCCCCTCCCAGGAACTCTTCAGGTCCACCTCCTGGGCTGCGTGGGGCTGCTGGAGGTTGTTCCGGGGCGGAACAGGGGCACCCCGGTGGTTCTGCCCTCGTACTCCCCCGCAGACGGACGGCCCTCCTTCAAACTGAGCGGCCTCTACAGCCGCAGCACCAGCAGCATGAGCCTCAAGATCCCCGGCAAGAACGAGGAGCCCTCCTGTGAGTGCTCCAGTTTGGGCTTTTAAATCGAGCGCGGCAAGCGTTTAGACAGAAAAATGTCAAATTTTAAGGAAGTACAAGCCTGGATTCTCAAGAGGATATTCCAAAACCAAGCCGGGGAAATATTAAACCCAAATGACAAAATCCCAACAAAACACAACCTGACACCTGATTACTGTACAAGATTAGTGCTGTAGCTGAATGGAGTCAGATTTCAGTGTCGTTCACCTGGTGGGATCACACCACCATGTTCAGAAGTTTCAGATGAAATCCTCTGAAAAACAAATCCTTTTCTCTAATTACTTTCTTAAGGATATCACAGACAGCCATATCAAACCTATGAATATATATACCTATGAAGCATCATCAGGCAGAACTACTGATAGCTACTACTGATGTCTTTATTTGGAGCAAAATACAATGTGTAATTAACATTTGATTAATCGTTTTCATCTCAAAATCTTCAGTTGTTGCCTGAACTTAGCAATTTGTTCTAGAGCTTCTCAACTAAGTTTTACTTTTCATTTTCAAAGCTGGTGATCTTTAGGCTGTCCCATAAAGGCACTTTGCATGCAATTTGTGTGTTACTATGGCAGCGCAGCTTAGGGAAATAGTCGTGGCCTGCATATGAGAGAATACACGATCAATAAAAAAACAGTCTTGATTTGCTCTATGACTTAGATGATCTCCATGTTGTTATGGGTCAGCGTCTGAGTTAATGGACCTCTTATCAGGCTGAGAGGTTTAAAAGCGTCATGTGACGCTGACATGACATTTTTGATGATACCTTTCACACCTCTCCACAAGTACAGGCAGCCCCTCTTTTCAAATAGGTGTCAAGCAACAGGTGCATTTTTTGCAGGGGGATGCTCAAATGATGCATAAAATACCTGCTTTTTAGAGTCAGAAGAGGACAACACGAGTTACAAACGTCATCACACCTATCTTTAAGTGGAGATGGAATGTTTTTTGTCGAGTTGGACTCATTTAGGGGTTCAGGAGTGTGTATTATTCGCTGTAGTCCACTATTAAAAAGCTGAAAATGTCATCTCAACAGAAAACAAACGCTGCATATTTAGAGTAGTCTCCCTTTTCTTCAACAGTCCTAATTATGCTCCAGCTCACAGACACCAACTCCTCAGTGGATTAACGCGATTTTCCCTATGTTTGTGTGTCTGTGTGTGTGTGTGTGTGTGTCGGTTGCAGCGGAGGTGAGTGCGGTGCTGAAGCTGGAGAACACCGTGGTGGGACAGACTGCTTGGAGAACAGTGGGAGAGCAAGCCTGGAATCAGACTTTTACTGTGGAGCTGGAGAGGGTGAGGCACAAACACAAAACTCAATTTCAGACTGAGTTTGTGTGTAGATTCCCATCTAAAGTAGCTGTATCAACATGCAAATGCTTAAAACTCATGATTCTGAAGTACAGATGTTGAGGCATGTTGCTTTTAAACTAGTTGACTAAATGAATCTTCCCGTTGCATCCCTCCTCTGTGCCGTGCGTAGTCCAGGGAGATGGAGATAGCCGTGCACTGGAGGGATTTCCGCTCCCTGTGTGCTCTGAAGTATCTGAAGCTGGAGGAGTTCCTGGACAACCAAAGACACCAGGTCCAGCTGGAACTGGAGCCCCAGGGGCTGCTTCTAGCTGAGGTAGACAGCGCATGCACACACACATGCACACACACACACACACACAACCTGCCATGAGCTGCGGTCTTATTAGGCCCGAAGTGAAAATGAAGCAGAAAACATCATGAGTAGCAGCTCCTCCGGTTAACATTCAGAGCCGGCTGTTTGGTCTTACACACACTTTTTATGTTAACAATTCATATTTTTAACATATTTCACCATGTATGCGTCAGGTGACCTTCTTCAACCCCGTCATAGAGAGAGGCCGACGGCTCCAGAGGCAGAAGAAAGTATTTTCCAAACAGCACGGTAAGCATTTAAGCAATACCGCACATTCTAAAGAGGATGTGCTTTTTTTAAATTCTGATTCACGTGTGAGTTTCTGTTAAGGGCCTGTTGTCAATTCAGTTAAATTGAAAATTACTTTATTTATCCCAGCGTGAAATCAGATCTTGGTGTGACTCGTTTAGTTTTGGAGTTATTGATAGCTGTAGGCGGGAATAATCTTCTGTAGCTGTCCGTTTTACAACTACGGTAATCTGAAAAAGCCTCTGACTGAAGAGCCTTTTTTTTTTTTACCAATTGCAGTCTCATGAAAAAGGATGGTTTGTCCACAGTGTTTTTGATTTGATGCCAAATCCTTCTTTGCATTATCATTAATTCTTTAGAAGTAAGTTTTTTTTCTCAAATGCAGAGCTCTTTACACCATGATTGAACAATATCTGTGGAGCGGTTACTACACTCTCCTTAATGCCTGTTGCAATTAGGAGTTTAAAATCCAGAGTGGTTATGAGAAGCTGCTGTAAGCCTTAATGACCTTTGGTTGTTCCTTGAAGATGGATTAAAAGCATTTCGCAAAATGGACACACAGCAACCCACATCTGAGGCAACTTTTTGCTTCGTGTCCTAATTTACTTGGGCCATTGCGCCCTCTCAAGTACCTCACAGTCCACCGCGTGTGTTTCAGGGAAAGCTTTCCTGCGCGCCCGTCAGATGAACGTGGACATCGCCACTTGGGTCCGCCTGCTGAGGAACGCCATTCCAAGTGGAAACAACCCACCGGCATACGCGCCCAGTTTCTCCAGCAACACCCTCACACAGGGTTCAGGGTGTGTGCATAAGACACATGCATGGGTCTGTGTCTGTGTCTGTGTTTGTGTGTGTGTGTATGTGTGCGTCTGTGTGTGTTTGCATGTGGAGGAGGATCCAACCATGAGACACAGCAAGGTGAAATAACAAAAAAAAGCGATTTTTAAGAGCTTAATTGGTCCGTGATGCATTTATTGACAGGGAGAAGGCTTCAAAATTAGATCAAGCATTTAAAAAGTTCTGTAGAGAATTATGTTGTCAATGGCAAATCAAAAGGCAAAAATCAAGCTCTAGTTGAATATGAACTGGGAAACAAAAAAGAAGATCAACATGAAATTGGTTAGGGTCAATAAGGAGCTTAGACATTTTGACAGAAACCAACAGAAATCAGAATTTGTGTAAGCCAGTGATGGGTGATTACAATCATGTGAAGATGGTAGGAACAGAACAGGTGTGGAAAGAATAGAAAGCAAAAACGACAAATAAGTCAGGATGCAGTCAAACTCAGAGTGGATCAGAAAGTGAGGAAAACCTGTGTGAAATTAGACAAAACTTTTTCAACCAATGCCTGGGGTCTGCTACGAGCAAATATCTCTGCGGAAGCCGTGATAAGAGCTGCTCAGAATTTCCTTGAGATAAATCTCACCTTATATTCTGTGTTTGGTGAATGCAAATTGCAGTGAAATCTCAATGGAGAAGCTGAACCTGAGTGGCGACTCTTCTGCAAAAACTGAAGTCGGTGGCGATGTGGTGGATGCACCCATCCAGTTGGTGAGTAAGATGGATGGAGATCCTCGAGAGAAGGAGAATGAGTTTGCCTACCGTCAACAAGTCACAAGTTCCACACATTGGAAAAAAATCAGCTTGAAATGATACCTTTACATATTTTGTTACCGTAGACTACCACAAAGCCACATGATTTTTTCCCTATTTATTTAGTTACAGTCTGATAAATGCCAAATGTGAAATAGAAAATGGTACTTTTGTACCAACAAGTTGATTCAGAAAAGAGCTGAAATCGAAATCTTCGGCGTGTGTCCAAAGTACTTGAGGATTATGGACAAGTGGCAGACTTAAGAGGAGGAGTTTCTGAAAGTGAAGTCCTGAACATATAGGAAAACAATCAAGACAATGGACTTGGGAGATGCACCTGGACCTTCATTTAAAGCTTTTAATGAAGAGCCAGAAGAGTATTGGCATTGGTTTTCTGCTTATTTGCTATCAGCCTCATTTGTTGGGATTACAGCGATCTAACTGGATGCAGAAGAACACAAACTTTAGGGTCAACTTTGGTGTGAAACACAATAAAATTCAACTAAATAGAATTCAATGAAGTCAAAATTGATTTTATCTATCAAGGAAATTTATATTATTGTGAAATAAATGGCTAAAATAGCTAAATGAATAAGAAAATGAAAGTAAAGTTCAACTAAAACAGTGTTCTGACTGATAGAAAATTGGTAAATCGGGCTTAGAACATCCTAATAAATGTACGGTGGTGTGGTAACAACCAGTGCATTGTTGCCAGGTAAACAAATGTGAGTCTTCGTCTAGATGACTTGGACAAAAACACACATGTGAAAATTCAAATGGGGGGGTTTAGAGACCCTGAGCGATAACCTTGATGGTCATCCTCTTGATGATCCCACATGGTTAGCATAGTTCCGTTTGCACATATTGGTGCTGAACACTCCTTCAAAGTATTTTGAAGAACGTAAAACCCTTTTTTAGGTCTTTAGGTCTTTGTTTGCTCTAAGTCACGGCAGGCCCATCGTGGATACTTGTCTCAGATCTGTTGGCGCACCCTTTTTATGTCCGTGCCAGGAGTGAGTCATGGCAGACGGTCAGTCCAACGAGCAGAACGAGAGTCAGAGGGGGAGAGGGCTGCGGCAGATGGCGCGTGCATCGGGGTTGAAAGTATTATGGGATTAATTGCTCTGATGTTTTTTAGACAACTAATTAACAATAAGGAGGAGGAGGAGGAGGGGTTGTACCGGTCAGGGACGATGAGCGATGGCCTGCGTTGGCAGATGTTAGCAGTCGAGAGGTTCTCGCCTCGCCTTTATCTACCCCGTCACGTTGAACCCGCCATTTCTGTGTGTGCGTTTGTGTCTCAGAAACAGACACCCGTCATCGAGCCCCCGCCGGCGCCGGATGCTCCCGCCGATGAGCAGCCGACCAGATCGCTGTCCCAGAACTCTTTACGCAGGTGTAGATACACACCTCGCACCTCTCTACCTCCTTATCATCCACACACACACACACACGCACACGCGCTTAACAACCCACACATACCCAATGGCCCAACACCTGAGGATGTATTTCTGCAGTGTGGCCAGCACAGCATGATATTAGGAACACACCCCCGCACAATATGGACCCGTGTTGTAACCTCCATTTTTTTTCTAACACCTTACCTTAAAGCCAAGTCATCATTACTGCGGATTACAGCACGCCAGCTCATAAACCCCCTAAGGGTCGTATTCCTTGTGCACGAGGACGAATGTCACCGAGCGCTCGGGAAACGTTAAAAGCGGGACGTCTTTTTACCGTGTGTTGAATGCATCACCGTTAACCCGCCTTTTATATCTGTCTCAGACCCAGCAGAGGCCCTCTGTCCCTGCAGGACTTCAAGCTGATAGCAGTTCTCGGCAGGGGCCACTTTGGGAAGGTACTCACAGTGAATTAATAGTTGCTGTTTATTTACGTATTTAAAGGGAAAAAAAGCAATGATCCAAATCAATTTTTTTCGCACAAATGAATCCAAGATGTGACAGTTAGAGTTTGTACTAAAGCAGTATTCAGTAGAGTCTGTGGTTTAGAAGAACAAAGAGTGGCAGGTTTATTCCATTCTGTTCTTCTGAGAGACTGGAGGAGGTTTGCATATTACATCATTTACAGTGCAAGAGTGAATTAGGCAAATTCAAGAAATCTTTCTAAGGTTCAGTTCATGAAGGGCACTGGCCAGTGCTGGACGCCAGTTCACTCCAATCACATGACAGCACCAGACGAACTGTGAAAGACTTTTTCTGCAATGCAGAAATAACTACGTTCTTTAATTCGCTGAACAAGAAAGAAGACTTATTTTAACTTAGTCCAGAAAAGGCATCAACATCTCTGGGTTCTTATGCATCTGACCATGGGTAGAAAGTATATTGTGTTCAGATTAGTAAGTGTCCCTTGTCTGTGTTGGAATAAACTGACACCTTACTCCATTATGATGATTAAAAGGGCAATAAAGGCTGTTTTCAAGCTATGATTTTGTGTCGTTTCGCAAAAATTGAACTCCCCTCACCACCCTCCTGTAATTTTTCTTCTCAGGTGTTGCTGTCAGAGTACAAAAAAACGGGCAGCCTGTACGCAATCAAAGCCCTGAAGAAAGGGGACATCGTTGCTAGGGACGAGGTCGACAGGTAACCAGCACTGGCTCGCATTCCCTCCGAGAATTAACCTCCGACAATAACCGTCTCCCATTTGCCCGTTCTCAGTCTGATGTGCGAGAAGAGGATCTTCGAGACCGTCAACGGCTCCCACCACCCCTTCCTGGTCAACCTGTTCGCCTGCTTCCAGACGCCGGAGCACGTGTGCTTTGTCATGGAGTACACGGCGGGAGGGGACCTCATGATGCACATACACGCCGACGTCTTCTCCGAACCCCGCGCCGCGTGAGTTTCTGACCAAAGGAAAACAAAAGCAATGCCTTTTTTAAGGCGTACTCTCCCCATTCTCACTGCCTTGTGCTCGATCTACAGGTTTTACTCAGCCTGTGTAGTCTTGGGTCTGCAGTTCCTTCATGACCATAAGATTGTATATCGGTGGGTACTCGGATTGTCTCCGTTTTTACAGTCCGTAAATAAAAAATACCAGAGCGGGAACGTACCTCTGCTCTTTCGTATTGCACTGGACGTGATGTCAGTTCGTTTTCTTCACCAGGGATCTGAAACTGGACAACCTGCTTCTGGACACGGAGGGTTTTGTGAAGATCGCAGACTTTGGACTCTGTAAAGAAGGTGTGGGCTCAGTGTTCCACCCTCCACCACAAGAGGGAAATGTCCCAAATACAATGAAAAAATCCATCTACCTTTTTGTATTTTCATTTTATGAACTTTCCCCCCCCCCCCAAGGCATGGGCTATGGAGACAGAACCAGTACATTCTGTGGTACCCCCGAGTTTCTGGCCCCAGAGGTCCTGACAGACACGTCCTACACCAGAGCAGTGGACTGGTGGGGGCTCGGGGTCCTCGTCTATGAGATGTTGGTGGGGGAGGTGAGGACCGCAAAGTGTGTTTTTTCTCCCAATCTTTTTGCTGTAGTTTGTTGGCCTTGTAGAGTTTGCAAAGACTGAATTGGGGGCGTCCTTATCGAGAGTCAAGTTACAGCGACTAGAGCAGAAGGATATGAATTTTTCTTAGACCTCCACAGATACAAGTTGCCTTTATCAGCCTGTTGTTTAGATTCAGCAAATTCAGCATGTTTCTTTTGGTCTTTATTCAGAGATGTCAGAGAGGGAGAGAGCTATTCACTTGATATGAAGCATTTCATCTAACAAGGTCTAAATTCGGATACATGTTTTACCCCAGAAAATGTGATTACATTTTCATTTCTTGGAAAGCTTTGGGACAGCTGACCCTTTAAGTGGTGCTCTTGTTTCACTCAAAGTGAACTGTGTTGGTCAGCTCCTGATGACAGTTTATCTAACTATTGATTTTTTCAGTCATTACTTATGCTGAATTTACATCACGCCAGTTGGGATCCCAGCAAGAAATATTTTTGATGATTTATCCCATTTGTTTTGCTCAGTCAATGTAAAAAAGAAATGTCAGGAATGATAGTACGGAACCATTTCAGTCAAAATGTAGGTCCGAGAAGATTAGGTAACAAACCAACCAGGTATCTGATGTGACTGCGTTGTTTTAAACTTGTGCTGTATTGAATGTGGCGGATTTTAACAGTACAGTTTGTCCCTGTGAAATGGACTTCACAGGGTTTTCCTTCAGGTGGAGTGTGATTTCACAGTATCTGAAACAGAAAACCTCAAGTTGAAAGAGAATTGAAAGCCCATCCCTTTATCTAGCCATTACCTATACCCAGGAACCCTTTTCCCATCGCTTTATATTATACTGAATTGCAAGATCGGCCCCTTATTCATCAGGGCTCATTTGAGCTCTCATTTAAAAAGAAAAAAAGATTTTTCTTTCAGAATCGTGTTCGTGTCTGCATTAGGGACATTCCTGGGTTTTCTAATTGATCAATTTTCACATGTTTATTCTCACAGGGTATTTGTGTTCATATCTACAGACTTGCTGGGTTAGGGTTAGGTATCTAATGACATCTAATTACATTTATTGCAAATTTCTGGGGCTTTTTCAGTCTCCGTTCCCGGGTGACGATGAGGAGGAGGTTTTTGACAGCATAGTGAATGACGAGGTGCGCTACCCGCGCTTTCTCTCCACCGAGGCCATCGCCATCATGAGACGGGTCAGTAAAACTCTCACGAACTCTTCTTCATTTACTTCAGCGTGTGTTAATGTGGCCATTAGGAAAGCTGAAACCTCAGATAGGTCATCACACTTAAAAAATCATTGTTGCTCTAGGTCCTAGAAAGGAATGCTGATTTGAGAGGTGTTTTTTTTTATATGTCCTGTCTCTAGCTGTTGAGAAGAAACCCAGAGAGACGTTTAGGCTCTGGAGAGAAGGATGCAGAAGATGTCAAGAAACAACCATTTTTCAGAGTGAGCATTTCTCATTTCTTTTTTACTGCTTTGCTCAGGCACCGATAAACGTTTAGGACACAGCTAAAAGCAATCGAACCGTAAGCTAAATGTACATGATCTTTTAGGGGATGGACTGGGAGGCGCTTCTTCAGAGGAAAGTCCCGCCCCCCTTCGTCCCGACCATCGCCGGAAAAGACGACGTCAGCAACTTCGACACGGAGTTCACCGCCGAGCCCCCGGCGCTCACGCCCCCCCGCGAGCGCCGCACCCTCTGCCGCAGCGAGCAGGACTACTTCAAGGATTTCGACTATACCTCCGACCTGTGCTAACGGGGGTCAGAGGTGCCGCTTGCCCACTCTCAGCCACACACAATGACTCCGAAAAGGAGGCAGACACGTGAAGGCCCACTTCCTGTGCCGAGACGAACTTGAGAGGCCCAGAGCGCGGTCACTCTGACCCTATTCTCTTTCTTGGGGTCATCGGTGGGACAAGGCCCCGGCTGGACAGGACTCGGGCGATCCGACCTCGTGCCCAGACATCTGCTCGTGTAAGACTTCCCGAAGTCGCCACGACGGCAAGAGATCATTCAGATTATGTAACGAATGGAAGATCGGACCACGAGCCCCGGCGTTAGTTTCAAAATCCTCAAAGAAACTCACAATCACAGATGCAAAGCGTAAGAGGGGATTTTTCTGACCGGAGGTTTTTTGTCCCCCCCCAATCATTGTGTATTTGCTCCAGTCTCTCGTCGTTTTTATCCCTGCTGTTTGTTGCTGCTAAGTGTGTGTTTAGCTGTGAACGGTGTCTCTGCCTCAACTGGAATGTATCCGTAGTCATGCATTACCTGTACGTTAGCACTTGGGGGGGCCAGAGAGCAGAGAAAAAAATGCTCCTTTCGGTTTGGTCAGCGGTTGATTTTGCCAAAGAAAGGCAGTTGTCGACAAATAGGGGAATCGAGTCGGGGTCAGCTGCTGTTTTCTTTGTCTTTGCTCAATAATAAGCCACTTTTTCATCGTCTTTCCTATCCAGTGTCTGTCGGTACATATGGTTTTTAACTCCAATCTTTCTTTTTTTTCTGTCACTGAAAAGATTTTGCAATTTAATGTCATAAAATGATCCTTCCTCACGTCTGTGTTCCTTCCTCTGTCAAACGCTGGTGAAATTTGTTGGAACTGTGACTCAGTAAAGATGTGAAACCAACACAGAAGCACTGACCATTTATCTTTCCATTCTTTTTACTATTTTTTTGTATAAACCTATATTTTCTCTTGGTTTTGTTGCCTTGTAACCTGCATTTAACATTAGTTTTTTTAAAAATTCTGCATCATCAAAGAAAAAACAGGAGATAAAAGAAGAAACAACCGACCAAATGGCATTTTTCTGGAGCTTCTTTTGCAGCAATTGGTGCTGCAAGTTGAGTAGTCGTGAGTAGTCTCTGTTCCAGAGACATTAAACTAGTAATTACGACTCAGACTGGGGCAGAAATAGGTATGCAAACCCTTGCTATTGGATTTGTAAAATCTTTTTGTACATGTGGTTCTCTTATAAATCTCAATAATCAACTATATGAATGTACAAAAACCTGATTTCTGCTTTCATGTTTGGTCATAAATGCAGGTGTTCTCACCCCTAGTTGGGAAGGCCCAAAAACAGGCCCAAAACGGGCCTAATCGCTCGGGCCCACCACCTCCGAGAAACCCCATTCAAAGATTAAACAGGTCAGTAAAGACGGGCCTCTTTGGAGCCATGAGGCCCGATCTCGCACCATTTGGACGTTTTAGCAAAAATCCGAAAAATCCCCTAATCTTCTCTCCACTTCGTGACATCATCACAGGCTGAAGTCAAATTCCTGTCAGTTGGGTCCTCTAATTAGGGGACCACAGGGTCAACTGTCAAGTTTGGAATGTTGACAGGTGGGGGCCAACGTACTCGCTGTTGTAGTCACAAGCTGGAAGACTGCGCTACCCAGAATGCTTTTGCTCCTCAAACCAGGAAGTACAGTACATGTCCATATCATTTGAAATGGCTCTGTGTCATTGACTGGTTTGCATTTGATGGCACAGAAAGGGTCTTCTAGTTATATCTCAAAGTCTGTTTTTTTTATTAGACCAGACCATGGTACTCAAAGCACATTGCCTGGCATGTTTTCAGAGTTTCCTTTCTCCAGCACACCTTATTCAAATGAATTGGTCAGCTCACCAATTTGTAAGTTTCGTTAACCTGGACATCTTATTGTAAGTATTGAAAAAATACTTAATATCAGTGCGTAACTGCTAAAAGACAGCTGCTGGTAACCTGTGAGGTTTTGCTTTTTGTGTTCAGCTGAGTAGGATTGCATTCTACCATGAACTGATATGTAAAAGGTTACAACTGAAATTGGACAATTGGATATGAGCTGAGCGTATCAAAAGTGGTGTGTTAATTTTCAAGCAAGCATTGTTTTCATGAGATTTAATCCTTTAAACCTTTAATTAACATTTTACACATTCTATTTCCAAAGAAAAAAAGATACATTTAAACACGTCAAGATACAAGAAATGTAAATAGTGTTTAAACCTTTGCAGATCACCAAACAACTACAATTCAAAGTGACTCCATATCAGGTGAAATGTTTAACTTCTAAGTTCCAAAGATATCCGTCCTACTGTCTTCAAATGTAATTTGAAGGTACTGCCTATCACATCCTAAAGTAAATCCCAACTTAATACTTGATTTACACATGAAATTGTCCTAAAGCATGACCAAGACCTACTTAAACAAAAAATAGATCAGTGAGGAGGAAGTAATGCGAGAACTTTAGGTTATCGGTCTTTAAGTTATCCAAATAATGACAGCACTACAATGATTCTATGTTCACCAACAGAATTATGCTGACAGATTTAAACATTTAAGAGAAAAAAATCTTTACTCCTTACTCTAATTTTGTGCCACATCATCTGTCAAGAAGTCTGTTTCTGATTTTTTTTAAAATCACAGCAACGGAGAAACATTTGACATTCTGACGTCTATACATAAATGTTCTAAGCACTTTCTGGGATACACGTGAGGGTGAGGGGACGGTTGGAAATGGTATTTAGGGTCACGCTGACACCAGACCAGTGGACGATGACATCAATTCCCTGAACTCATAATTACTCAGAAGAATCTAACGTCCAAGTTAAATGTAATAGTCAATAAGAATGTTCAAACAACCGGTGGTCCCAGCTTCTTTTATTAATTGGTGTGTTTGTGCTTTAATGGACCTGAACTGGAACATTTTCAGAGCTTTTAGCAGGAATGAAAATGGGTGCTGAGAAAATTAGTTGCTGTGAAATTCTATGAAGAAAATTGATTATTTTTAGTCGGGGAAAAAACAGTTGTGGAAAATTATAGCAAAGAGAAAAAGGTTGTGGGGTTTGTGGGTAGTGTTGTGCTCGTAATGGTTCAGTTTATTAGCTTTTGTATTTCTAGTTTTGTTTAGGGTCTTGTTTTAATCTTTGTTTACCTGTTTTTGTTTAGTTCTGTTTGAGTTTTGAGTTCCTTTTCTTTTAGAGCTGAGAACAACTATCCACTATGCTCGTCTATTCAAAGTCAGGGTCGCACAAAAGACTGAGTAGAACTCACGTTTGAGTGCGCACGGGTGACGTGAAAAGAGATACATTCATTGTTACAGTTAGTTTTAACTGCCCTCCTATGTCAGAAAAGCATGAGTCATTGCAGATAAAAATGCTCCCTCAAGAACTTTTTTAAATGTTCTACATTCATATATGTGCTGCTACGTATGGGATCATTGTCCTGCTCCATGACTTGGTTTAAGCCAATTTGTATCCATATATACTTTGATACAGAGAGGAGTAATAAATATGAGTCTGAGTTGTAGCTTGAGCATTTTTATTTTACTTTATTTTGAATTTTTCAACAAGTTTAAGATGGTCTGTTGGTGTAAATCTGCATTTGTCTCTCATAATTCCCTTTCTCTAAAGATAGTCATCTGGACAATAGCCTTTTAACCATCTCGAGGTTTCTGCCTGTTAAAAGGAAGTTTTTCCTTGCCTGTGTCGCCTAGTGCTTGCTTATGGTGGGAATTGTTGGGTTTCTGTAATTAACTTCAGAGTAGGGTCTGACCTGCTCTGTTTGGAAAGCGATGTGAGACAACTGTTGTTGTGATGTGGCGCTGTATAAATAAAATTGAATTGAATTTAATTGAATTCTCCATTAGGATAAAACAATCAGTTCTTTCAGATAACAGGTGGTGTATTCCCTCCCTGTCATTGTGTCATCACACACCTGAATGATGTGATGAAACATCTGCCTTCACAGACTTGCTCACATTGTCTCAAGATCAAATAATGAGTGCATTTCATTAGGATTTCATTTGATTTCCTCCTTCTGACGCAGGCGTGTACTCTCATCCTGTGTTGCCTTCTCAATAGGAACTTGATTATCTTTTACATAACGTCCTGATACAGTAGAAATTATAAAAGAGATGATGGTGTTCACTCTTCTTTTGCACTGGTGAGTGTTTGTGTGCCTGTTTGTGTTGCTTCACTCTCTTCCCCTTTTCCTCAGACACAGAGTCCGCCCTCCTCCTTCTCTTTTGCCCTCCTCCGTCCCTCCTCTGTTCCCCTGGTCCTCCTTCCTGTTGCCATCTATGTTTGGGGACGTTTGCAAAGCCTTTTATTCCTCTCCTTGCCTTTTCTCTCTCCACTCTGTCACACCATCACCCGGCCCCTCCCATACTTCCCCTTTAAGTGTGCGCTTTTTACTACTTTGTTGCAGCTGTCTGACTCTGAGTGTGTGTTTATGTCCTTAGAGAGTTTATCCTCACAAATCACACATCCGTGCAACAAACGGCCAAGATCAGCGTTTGTTTTTTATCTTTTTTCCTTTTCTTTTTTTGTACCACAAACGCGTCTGTCTGTCAGTGTGTGTCTGCCTGGTCGTGTGTTTGGGAAATGAGGGAGGTGTGTTTGGGGTTGGATGTCCAGCCCTCCTCACAGCCCAGACCAACACCAGCCTCAGCCCACAGCCTGTCCCTCTGTGCATCGCCGCAGGTGAGTTAATTCTAAATCAATATGTACTGAGAAATATCTGTTTAAAAAAACAACTTTTTCTTATCTATCCATGGGCCTGAGATGAAATAATGTTTTCCTGAAACGCTGTTCTCTTTAAATGATTACACTAATGCCTGAATTCTGATTGATTTCTGTCTACTTTTGTAAGATATTGAAAACATTGTGGATTTAGGGTTGTTTTATATTCAACTGAACAGTATAAAATTGACATTGGGTGCCATATTTAGCATGTAAAAGAAAATTAGGGTTAATAAAGAGTTCCTTTAATAATTGTGTCCTTTATTGGAGTTTTGATTGAAAACACTCATAATAATTTCAATTCTTAAGTTGAACTTACTCAACTTTAATTGAAAAATGCAGGGTTTTCTCTTAAAAGCCCTCAAAAACCTCAAGAGTTTCTGGAAAACTTTGAGGTTTGAGGCTGAACAGCTCCCACAGACGTGCACAAAAGTTTTGGCCGTTTGACCCAAAAATGTAGCTGACTGGGCAAATGTGATTATTTTCTAGGATGATGTCAGGGGCTCCGTCCCGTCAGTTCAGTTCCACCATGACTCCACTGTCGGAGTTTCAGTGGATGTTTTTCTGGCTCCTGGTGATCGGGGAGAGGCTGGCAGGTAATGTACGACCGATAGCTTTCCATTAATGATGGTCAGAGGGGAACTGAAAATGAAGGTGTTGCCTCTCTGGGACGTGTTCCAGAAGGTGCAGGGGCACGATGTCCGCTGTCTTATCCGGTGGGGCCGCAGCACCCTGTCCAGGGTCTACTGGAGAGGTTTGAAGCTGGTCCGGGCTGTGCTGCGAGGGAGCAGGGGAACAAAGAGACTCATGTCATAGCACTGAGAAGAATGACAAACAGCCCTGAGAACAAGGTGATATATGGACTCTCGTGTTAAAAGGTCAAGATTTGACTATTTAAGGCACTAAGAGACTTTTCCGTTTCTGATGCAACATTGTTATAGTTCAGTTTTATAAATACAGTTTTGTATATTGGTGTTGTGTTAATCTAACTCTCTCTCTCTTTGGGAGGTTTTTAACATGATTGATTAAGTGATTTGGCATTTCAAGGCATGGTGTGCAAATTTAAAGATTTTCTGAATTCCGTATAGTTGCAGAAGAAAAACTCCTCCATTTTTAACTGATTAAAAAACTTAACATAAAAATTAACACATTTCTAAACCTTATTTAAGCTCCTTCTTGATATATTTCCACTGTGTTTGTAGATAAGCAACAGTAATATGGCTTGGTGTTAAAATCATATTTACATGGATAAATGGCTCGCATGTGTCCTATTGCATTTTTTCCCCCTCCTGTCCACAGGTGACGGTGTTGCTGAAGCCCTTGTCTCCATCCCCCCCCCCTCTAAGGCCCGTCCACCTCGTGCTCAGCTCCAAGCTTCCAGTCGCCTGGCTTCTGAAGTCCGAGCAGCTGCCCGGCAACCTCCGAATCCTGGTTCAGGTCAGCAGTATGTCCGTATGCGTCTTCATTTCAGTGAACACACACTTTTGATTTCATGCTTTTATCTTTCTTTTTTTTTTTTTATATGGTAGCTGTCCGGAAAGTCGAGCGTAGAGTCGGATTCTTTACCCTTTCACGTCCAGACGATTCCCTCGCTCCCTTCACATCCCCGGTCATTGCATCGCTGGGCTCTGAAACACCACGGCAACCTCTCTTCTCTGACACACGCAGCACACGGCAATCGAGTCTACATCAATCTGGGAGAGGGTGAGCCATTAGGAAAATATGGTGTGGTGAAGAATTCAGTAAAGAACTGTCTTTTTTTTAAAAACAAACGTATATGAATAAACATTTCTTAGTGCTTTCTGGGTAAAAATGGTTGAGTCGAGCCTGCTCTCAGAGGTTGCATTCAGGGAATATTACCTTATTAGTGTCTTCCCAGAAGACTTAAACCTAAGATAAAATCAGATACACAGCTGAGAAAGATGTGAAGTGGAAAGGAACCTCTACGTTTTGCGTTTCAGATCCAGCCCTGCCCGATGTGTGCCAGCTGGAGCCCACGTTTCTATCTCCCAACTACGCGACTTTTGACCTGCAGCCGCAGCCAGTCCAGGGCTGCGTCTCAGCAGGCGGGGCAAACCCCCAAGTCCACGTGGTCAAGCTCCACTCGACGGGCTCGGACCTCTGCGGGTGAGAGCATGTACAGACTGATGGACGGGTGACTGGGATTTCTGTTCGTGGGAACGTAAAATTTGCTTTCCCGCTCTCCCAGCTGTCGGCAGGCGAAGGTGACCGTCTTTCTCGTGCCCCCGGTGGCCAGTGCGAGGGCCAGGAAGGTGGAGCTGATCCTCAGCAGCTTGGTACCGGTCAGCTGGGCCATAAGTGCTCGTGGCGTCCAGGGCCACATCCATGTCCATGTATGGGTCACAACTTTTTTATATTTTAGCTCTGTTAGTTTTTTTAGTTTTCTTCTCTGAACCACAATTTTTTACTATTACCTGAGAGTTTTTATTCTCAGTTTTGGCAGAAAGGCCACGGTGCATCTCTCTGTGAATTCCGTCTTTTGTGCTCGTCTGGATTCCACTTTAGTTTCACGCTTACACTTTGTGTCTCTCTTCCCCACAGACCTCGGACAGCGTGTCCTGGCCGTATCCATCTGAGCCTAATCTCACCCAGTCCAGCACACTCGATTCTGACCTATCAGCCGTGTCTGATCTTCTCGCCTGGGCGGCCGGGAGGGGTCACACGGTCACCTCGTACACGGAGGCACGTCTGGCCAATCGCTTTGTGATCAAGCTGGCCGAAGGCAGGACAGGTCAGGACACGTATGTGTGTTTTGTGTCCGTCTTTGTGCGAGGGAAATGAATATTTCTTGTTTTGTTTTGGTTTTTTTCTATGATCCATCTTGTCAGTCATTTTTTATCACAACCTTGATTGTAACAAATACCCTTTAATCTGTGTCCAGTACATTGTTTAGTTCTTGGAGCAAAGTTTGGATCCCATATTGAGTTTAGTGTTTTTGGTATCAAGCTTTTGCCAGCTCTCGGAAGGTCTTGGCTACTATTTCAGCCATTTTTTCTACTCCACTCAAGCAAACGATTCAGCCTCTACTCACAGAGTCTAACTCAAGCTTCGACTCTATTAACTAATGGACTGTATTGTCTGTTTCTATCATAGATGAGGTCGCATTGTTGAATTCTTTGGTCGTGAGAAGGCCCTGGGTGGAGGAGCGGAGGCTGAGGGACTGGCTGAATACCAGAGATGGTCGAGAGAGTGTCAAAGTTAACTGTGAGGGCGGACTCCTCAATGTGACGGTGGACCACCGAAGCCTGCAGGTGGTTTTCGTACCTGGGTATTTAATACAGTAACAAAATTAAGATAAGAAAGGAGGCCAGCCAATTGCCTTTTACTGAGTAGTCTCAAGCAGACAGTTACAAATAACCACAATTACCATATTTTTACAGGTTAGTGTGTTAGGTTTAGTGTGTTTTTCTGGCTGTAAGCTCTTGGCTTGAATCGACTGTTGTTGTTGTTTCTTTCCCTTTATTTAAACCACACACTTAAAAGCACACCTTAAGTGGAGAGTTTTTTTCTTTTGTCAAAGTCCCAAATATCCACTATGAAGTTTCTGGTTATCAACTGTCTGGCATCAGATAGGTCTGGACCTACATGGGACACACAGGCTGTTATCTTTCCAGTCCCAAACCCAAACCTTTTTATTATCTGTCGGGCATCTCTCAGACCAGTCATGCATCAACATCTGCACCTTAACCCTTTAAAGCCCGATCTAAGAATAAAATAAAACATAAAAATACTTTTTTTTTGTTTAAAGTCTTTATTTGGCCTTTTAACAAAATATGTAAAAAGAAAAAAACAAAATACATTTTTGATATTAATAATTTACTACTATGCGATAGGTCAAGATTATTTTTTGTGTAGTCTTCTGCCCCCTGTTATCAGGTATGTCTGTTTGTGTACAATAGGATTTTGAGCAAAGTTTTTACCATTAAATTAAGCAAAAGGTGTCAGACGCAAAACATTTCAGAAACCGTATATATCAAATATGATACATTTGGCATTACTGGGTTGAAACACAACTAAACCATCTTTGGCACGCTCAAAGGAAATATTTCACCTACTTTGAATGGAAATAAGATATTCTAATGCCCGTTCTCTCGTGCAGAGCCTGTCAGTGCCAGTCGCTGCCGTGACCCTGCGGGACCCCAGATGCCAGTCCGCATCCAATGGGAGTCACTTCCTGTTAGCATTACCAGTAATTTTCTGTGGAACGGAAGCAGTGCTCCTGGGAAAGCCCAAAGGGGTGCAGTACAAAAACACGGTGAGATAAGAAATTTGGACAGAAAGTCTATTTTTTCAACTTTGATTATGCCTTTAACACAAAAAGTCGCTTTGTGGTCATCTTTCTTGTTTTTCTTTCACTGTTTTTAAACGTTTTTCTTCTGGGCTTTCATGGGCTGTAATTCCTGACTTATGCAACAACCATACTATTTCTGTCAAACCACAAATTGAGCAAAACAGATACTTTATTTCAGGAATTGTATACATTAAACTCGATATTGACAGGTCTACAATTAACATTTCAATTTAACATGTCAACATTAAGAAACATTTCATGATTAAAAATTTTTTTTAAGGAAATGTTCAAGGTTCTAAAGCCATCATAGCCTCTCGACACAAATAGGTCAATCAAATACAATATGGAAGTGGTGATAAAGGAAAAGAACAAACCCAGAGTTCTGATCTTCAAACATGTTACTGCGAAACCTTCCTAATCTTCTGCATCTCAGAGAAAATAGTGGTGCGGGGGAAAAAAAAAGCATGTGATGCATGATGAATTCTGAACTGTGTCATCTTGATATTGTCTCTCATGACCTGTGTCATCCTGACCAGAACATGACAGAGTTGAAGCCTAAAATTGGGAGTCTGAACACAGGCAAATCAAGTGAAAAAAAAAGTCTTTGTTCATAAGCTGGAAATTGGACGTCATGTTTTAAAGCACGGCGTTAAGAATGCAGTAAGATATACAATGATACGCTCTGTGCATAAAGGTGATTGTTGGCATCTGAGCCATTTGTTAAGATGATAAATAGCAGCTCAAGAAATTCTCTGTTATCAACTTTAAAAAAAAAAATTTGTGTGTCATCATCATAAAGATCCAAATCCTGATGTTATTCTTTTTGTATTTTACCTGAAAGGACAGAAAATGACCACAAAAAATATTGTGCTAGTAATTGATGGATTAGGTATCACCAGAAGCAATGTATATATTGTTTACGTAATAAAGTATTCATTATAATTAGCCTATATTCTTCCATTTCCAGATATCTGTTTTGCTCATTTCGTCGCTCTTGATTGCTCTGTCTGTGTTGTCCATCCAGATTTTACTGTGGACAGATGACCCTCAGACCACCGTGTCGCTCAGAGAGACAGAGGAGTCTAAACGTCCACTCAGCGTACATGTAAGATATGAGCTCTTTATATGTGTTCATCTTCTGATTTAAGGTTCACTGTGTCTTTTCTTCTCCTTTCAGATTAGCTGCTTTGTTGCCATCCCTCTCCATCCCACTGCAGATGATAATGTGACCCTTCCTATAAGCCTTCCTCTGGGACGGTTCCCGAGGGCAATACTCCAGAGTCCAGATCCTGGTCCAGGACTCGGCCACCGACTAAGTCACGTTCACAATTCTGAGCCTGCTCTTCTATTGAATCTTTTTGTCACCGAGGGCTACGAGCAGACATGGATCGGACCCTCTGTAATCACTGTAGGCCACAGAGTCTACGCTGAGGTCTGTGTTTAAACTCAAATAGCAATGTTTTATCGTTTTTTTTACTCAATAAAGTTTGGGAATGTGTTCCGTTGCAGATTTCAGCCAAAGCAGCCAAAGCAGATGTGGTGCAAGTGAGGTCGTGCTTTGTTTCCCCTGTGTCTGACCCCCAAAAATCTCCCTTCTGGATGGTGATTAGCGATGGCTGTGCCTCAGATTCCTCACTGGAACTAGCTGTGAAGAGAGAAAAGCAGCAAGAGAACGAAGATGACCGTGAACTCGAGGACACCGAAGGACTGCAAAAAGGCAGAAGTCATTCCAAAGAAAGGAAAGACGCAAGAAAAGACGAGAAAATCGATCATGTTAGGGGAGGAGGAGAAGACCCCTTAAGATTTAGTTTCATCCTACGAGCAGTTTTTAATGACTCTATTCAGTTTCTTCACTGCAGCGTCTTTCTGTGCCTCTCTGACTCAAACAAGGGGCATCCCATAAAGGACCCAGTCCAAAATCACTGCCTGAGTGGGATACCTATCCCCCCAGTTGTATCACGATCGCCTAATAACCAGGTAAAACAACTCATACACAGCAACACCAACACTTAATGGCCCTAAACCCCCTACGAATAAAGCCTATTTTACAAGAAACCAATATGTCTTAAATGTCTTTCACCTCATTTGTTGGAAGACATTTGGCTTTTTTTGTTTCTTGTGTCAGTGCCGCGCTGTATCCCAGCTGGATTATGGAAAGCTAAGCAAAAAAAAAGAGTTAATCAGATGGGAAATTTGAGAAACTGCAGTTCAGTTTTCTAGCCCGCAGTGGTTTATCTGCTCCCGTTGTTTCACCACATCTCGTAAAAATGGGCTTTCTCTTATATCCCATCCCAGTGTGAGATCAGAAACCTCTACCGGCCCATGGTGGTCACCCATCCCATTAGCTCGCCCGCACCCAACACACGGGACTTTGGTGGCCCAAGAACCAGGAGACGAAGTATTACTCCAGTGATTCATCCAGACCCAGAACAAGACAGTGGGTAACATTTATTATACTATTTGTTACACATACACTCACACACCCATATGTATATATATATATATATACACACACATATGTATGTGTATATGTGTGTATATATGTGTATCTATACATATATATATATATATATATATATATATATATATATATATATATA